ACCTCGCGTGTTTGGCTGGGGACGCTGCTGCCACGGGGCCCCCGTGAACCTTCCCGCTTCTGTGACAGCTCGCTTCTCTTTGCTGAGAAGGAAGAGGGGAGAGTGTGTTGTGCGCTTTCTGAACCCGTGGATGTGACTGTGTGGACGGGGGGGGGGGGGGGGGCAGAAAGGAAGGACGTGTGCGGCCCGGGACTGGCCGACAGTAAGCCACCCTCTCTACGTGGAGAAGGGAAACGTCACGAGGCTCGGGACGGTGATGACACAAGCCTGGTGTTCGGGCAGGGGCACGTGTGAGCTGGCGCAGGTGGCGGAGGGTGAGCAGGGGTCACCAGCTGCGACCTGGGGAGTCGCGTCTCGGCTTCGCTGCCCCCGAGGGCACTGCGTGTGAAGGCATCTGATAACCTGCACGGGTGCATCCTTGATAAGGATGCTACTGGTCTGGCTGGGGAATATTTGTTTTAACGCTTCTCTAGATTCTCGTCCCAGTAGTTTCTTTGATACTTTGATATACGTGCGGAGGAAATACTGCCTTGTAATAAATTGGCAAGGTCGTTTGATAGTGAGAGACTTTTGCGATCGAAGCTTGAGATTTAGCCGAACCCTTTGGCGATGTTCAGCGCGCCCTCTTCTTGGGCTAACTTCCTGCCTGGGTGGAGGGCGTCCTGATCATGTCGTCGCGCGGCCGCAGCCGCGCTCGCCTGTGTGTGTCGCCATCTGCTGGCGGGAGGATTGGAGTGACGGCACCGGAAAGGCCCAGCTGCCCCGAGTGTGCTCCGTGGCACGTGCTGAAATTCTGCCCTTGGGAGCGGCTTCCAGAGCGTGGCCCCCTGTCGCGAGCTGTGACACTTGTGCAGGTGATGGCGACTCGTGCCCCTGGTGCCCCGAGGGCACCGGCTTGTTCCCCACGTTTCCATCCCGCGGGGCAGCCCCACCTCACAGGCCGGGAGGCCGGCCGGTCGCCGTGTCGGCTGTGCGGCTGTTGCTGCTGTCTCCCTGCGTCCTGGGTCCCTTCCCTCTGCTCCGCCCCAGGCACGGGCACCAGCACGATCTCCTGGTTGCACTCCGCGTTCTTTCAGTTGCAAAGCCCAGAAACCCATTGGAGCTATTAAATGAAAGTGGGGAAGGGCATTTATTTTAAGGACCCGGAGAAGTCACTGAGAGGACACCTGCAGCTGGGGCTCTCGTCGGCCGGGAGCGCGAGTCAAATAATCAGGGTGGAAACGACATCTCTCTGGCGGGCAGCCTTCCTTCCTCGGCTTGGGCGTGAGTCTAATGTGGCCAGCTCGGCCTGGACTGAAGCCACCCGGCTCCGGTGCCCCTCACTCACTGCGTGATTCCCTCTGTGTCTCGTGGCCCGAATTTCTAAGGGGAATACTCTGACCGACTCGGCTCCACTTAGCTTGGAAAGAGTCTTTACGTCTGTCCCTTCAGTAGCTGTGGGAGGGAGGGTGGGGTCACAGGACCTGCTGCCCTCACAGCCCCGCCCCCAGACAGGCAGGGCATTTGTGCAGGTGCAGGATGGGTGAGGCAGGCAGTTGTGCCAGTCTCTGGGGCACACTGAGAACCGTTTGGATTGTGTCACTCATTTGCACAAAAAACTTCACACGCACACAAAAAACAATCCTCATTTGTTACAAGACTGCCCGTGATCTGACTGCTGTGTGTCCAAACTCATTTAGTCTTCTCGCCTTGTGCATCGTGTCCAGTCACCGTGGCCTCCCTTCTGGTCCCGGCATGTCTGGCCCATTCCTGCCTCAGGACATTTGCACCTGCTGTTTCCCAGGCTTGGAGCTCTTTCCTTCCGGTTACTAGCATGTCTCACTCCATCATCTCCTTCAGGTTTTCACTTAGAGTCTGTCTTCTCACCTCAGTGAGGCCCCTCCTGAGCATCCTGTCCCCTGTTACGATATGATACGAAGGGTACGTCACCTCGGGGGCAGTCTTTTCCGATATGCAGAACCCCAGCCTGGGAACAACATCAGACGACTCCCACCGAGGGGCACTTGGCACTGCTCACACCTGTCAAAGCCGTGAAAACCCAGGGCGGCTGGGGAACTGGTGCAGACCAGAGGGGGCTCGCTCAGGGGACGTGACGAGGCAGTGGGTGTGCCGGGTGAGGTCCGGGAGCAGGAGGGGGACGCCAGTGGAGCGTCCGGTGACATCGGGACTGGGTCTGGAGTTCTGCTGGTGATGTGGCAGCCTTGGTGTGCCACAGGGAACCTGAGGGCTCTGTGCCGTCTTTGCATCATCTCTGTAAGTCTAGAATATTCTAAAGCAAACTTTCTGTTTGAAAGAGTCCGAGTTTCCATTGCCTGGACGTTCTTTTTGCCTCCTCCCTCCTTATGTTTCTCCGTAGCCCTTATGGCACCCGAGTCTGGCATATTTTGCTGATTTCGTCACCGTCTCCCACCCCGTTAGAATGTGAGTTCTGGGGTGCAGGGGTTTCGTGGGGCTGGGTGCCCAGGACGAGGACAGTGCTGGGTGTGGCGTGTGATCCGTGCTCAGGAAATGCAAGTTGAGTGCGAGGGAACCTGGCGTCCGGGCTCCCAGCCGTCTCACCCCCACGGCTCTTCGCAGCCACTTTTGCCCGCTGCTGACTGGTGGCCCACGGTGGCCCGCCTTGTCTGGGCCAGTGGCTTCCCCCACCTGCCAAGCCCTCCCTCCTCCCGTCTGCACATTCAACTCTGTCTTTCAGCTTCCGGATCGAATGTCACCTCTCCAGAGGAGCTGCCTCTGACCTCGAACCCAGAAGCAGCCTTGGGCTGTGCAGGTCTGCCCCGGTGCCTGGCTGTATGCCCCGTGGCCGCCCCGTGGCACTCACCACCGGTCCAGGCGGCGAGCGCTTCTGCTCCGTGACTTCCTCCACTGGACTGCGACCCTCTCCAGGTCAGCGTGACTTTTGCTCGTCTTATTCCCCGTGGAGGGGACACGTGGCGTTACTCCGTGGACGTCTGTTGAGTGGGTAAAGCCGAAGGTTGAAGGCAGAGTAACGAGGGGGCTGGGAGGTGGATGACGAGGTGGCTGTGCCAGTCCATCACCACGTGGCTCTGGGGATAAGTGGCCAACACCAAGCTGGCAAGCGGTCTGCACATTGAACGTTAGGAAATAAGTAAGTAGTGGGTTCGTGCCCAAGAATCTGGAGAAGCACTTAGAGGAGAGAGTGTGTGCCGGGTTCCCGGGTCACCGCCGAGGCGGCCGCGGGAGCGGGCGCAGGGAGCAGGGGCCAGGTGAGGGGAGCCCCGGGGTCTGGCGGGACCCGAAGGCGCTGGCTTTCTTTGGACGACGTGTACGGATTTGGCGAGGCTGCGGTGGCGTGCCCAGGGCGCGTTAATGTGTAACCGCGGGCACAAGTCTCTGCAAGGCGCCCGGGTCTGCACCAGTGCCGAACGGGGCGTCTTCTGGCCGCTTACCCACCAGGATTGCCGTGCGGGGGCCGCAGGCCTGCCGGCAGAGCACGTGAGCGGGAGAGAGAACATTCCTCCTGCCTGGCCATGTGGAAACGTGTATTTTTCCGCAGCCTCATGAATGCAAAGTGAGTTCAGACCGAGTGAGTGAATCTGAGACTATAAAAGGGATGGACAGATGGACAGATGGACACAGGACAGGTTGGTCCTGTGATGAGTTTGTAAATCTGGCTGTGTAAACATCCAGCCCGGCCGCTCCTAAAAGCCCGGCCCCTGGCACGCTGGCCACAGGAGACCCTGCCCAGCTCCCCAGTGCCGGGAGGCCAGCTGACCCCGGGCAGGCCCACTGCCCACAAGCCCCACCTGAGCCCCGCTGACCCTTCCTGGAGCAGAATGTAGAGGAGCATGGAACCGTTGAGTGGCTCAGAACGATTGAGGAAGCCTACGCTTTGGACCAGGGGGCCCGGCTGCATAAACGGAGCCCCTGGGCCCGGGCCAGGCCTGCCTCCTGTCTCTGGAACGCCAGCCCCGAGCACCTGCAGGGCCCCGCGCAGAGCTGGGACTCGCAGGGCTGGTGGCACAGGAGCGGGAAGGAGAACCGAGCTGTTGAAGGACCTGGGGACGTGGCCCTCATGAGTCTGTCTTCCCTAAGGAGCACCCACGGGTGTGGGCCACGCTGCCTGCAGCAGAGCCGTGGATGTGTGTTCCTATCCCTCCCCTGCAGGGCTCCGGAGTCCCAGAGCCGGGGAGGGGGGCTCCCTGGATGGGTGGACGGGGGCAGGCCTGACGGGGCTGCGTGTTGGCTCAGCTAGAATTAGGACCACCCAGGTGCCCAGTGAAACGTGGATTTCGGACAACAGACAGTGGGAGTATGCTTATGAGACATTTGAGATTCACGTATACTGAAACGTGATTCGTCGCCAGTATTTCACGCATCCACCTGTCGATTGCTCAGTCTTGCCACCAGGGCCAGAAATGCGGTTCTCCTGGACCTGTGCCGTGGCCGGGGCCCTGCCTGTAACGGCTACTTTCAGGAGATGGCCCCCCCACCGGTTCCCCCAGTTCCACACCTGGATCCCCGCCTCAGTTGGCCTTCCCGCAAGCTGTTGGGAACTGGTTACAGCGCCCGAGAACCGCTGATCCGTCTCCCGTGGGAAGGCAGCTGGGTCGGGATGACCAAGGTGGTGACAGAGATGGGAAGGTTATCAGGGACCGGGGGTGTATGGGCCTCCGTTTCCGGCCCTTCTGGTGTTCTCCTCAGCTCCAGGCTCAGGGCCACCATGGCCGTGCTCAGAGGGGGTGCAGCTCTGGCCTCTGACCTGACCGGACCCTGTCGAGAATTCCTGAAGACGGAGCGATGGCGGGGGGGGGGGGGGGGAGTCACCCCCTTCTCAGCCCTGTAAGTTATTAGTGCCGACGGGAACACAGGGAGCGGGTGGGACCCTCCCCTGCAGACGGGCAGCTGAGGCTGGCGGCTAAAGGGAGCACTGGCTAGTGAGCCTCTCCCTCCTCCCACCCTCCCGTCTCCCCGTCGTCCGGGGCGGGTGTGCTGTTCAGGACTAGTGCTCTGTGACGTAGCCAGGGGCGGGAGGCCGTGTTTGCAAGGTACCTACGGCAACAATGTATCTCTTCAGAACGGCACGAGGCAGTGTGAGGAGACCAGGTGGCACTGACAGTTCATTTGTGGAAAAAGGATGTGGCCCTCGTTATAAGGCAAAGTGGCCGTGTGGCCTGGATCTAGAGGACAAGAGGAATCAGCTGCTCGCAAGTGACCGACTGAGCCAAATGCGAAGAAATCAGGCAGGCCCTGACCTTCATGCTTCGACACATCCTGACAAGTGACAGGCACGTGGGCAGCCTATCAGGTCCACACGTTTCCTGAAACCCCCCAGTCGGCAAGGCCCTAAGGACCGGGCGCCTGGCCCACCTTGTCCGATAACTTGAGTCCGGCTCCGCCCTTCGCCCGTGTTGACCGCGGTGGCCTCTGCTCGGCGGGGTGGCCGCATCTGCTCCCGGCTCCGGGAGGTCTGCTAAAGCCCGTTCAGGTGCACCGCTGGCAGGTCAGGTGGTCCACGTGCCGAGGGGAGGAGACAGCGTCCTTACCCGGTTTCTGCTTCATTCACGGTTGGAGCTGACGAATTCTACAGGCTCCCTTTGGCCGGGGGTAAAACATTGATTTCCTACCTGCGTGGGCACATCTGTGATGCACTCCTTAAGGTTTTACCTGGCAAGCCCACGGAGTTGTACTTTTCTTCCCGGAACGTTCTTCTTCATATGTTCACGCTGTAGTTAAGGGAGCAGGAGCGGCATGGAGCTGTTTGCTGTGACTGAAGACGTGCCAGGCAGAGTGGCATTCGGGGGAAGGTGGCAAACAGGCTGAGGACAAGGGCTGTGGTATTTGGAGTGTCGGTTTTACTTGTTCTAAGAAAACAAGCGTGTTTTATCCGGAATGCTGCGGATTCCGTATTCATTTCCTTGATGGAACGGCGGGGTCCCTGAAACACCATTTCTTCGGATTGTTTGAGCCTTAGCTTAGAAAGGTTGGAAATCCACGGGATCTGAACCCCAGACGCGGATCCAGCCAGAAGGTCGCTGTCCTGGGACACACAGAAAGGTGAGAGGGACTGTGGCCTCAGGAGCCGGAGGGCTGGGCATCAGGCGGGGAGCGTGAGGCAAGGGCCGGAAACAGCAGAAATGCAAAGTGTCCAGACAATTCCACGCAGATGCAGGAAGGAGAAAGGGTGTAGACATTTGGCTGACTTTGGGAGCAGGGCCGCGGGGACCAGCATAAGGCTGAGGTTTACCCAGGGGCACGCGAGCGTATGCTGTCCTCACGGACTGAGGTTGAAAACACTGTCGCCTTGGAGAAGTACTTTCCAGGGAACAGCTATCCTGTCCGTTGGCCTAGTGCATTGTTGGCCCCGTTGGCTTCCGAGTGGCAGAAAGCAGGCCCTCCTTGATCCTCGTTACCGATTTACAAAAACGAAAGCGGTCAGAAGGCACCCGGAACTTCAGAAGCTCCGAAACCGTGTGGCACAGGTGGGAACGCGTTCCTCCCGTCTTCTTCCCAGACGATCCCGAGAAGAAAATGGTGATGTTTGGAGCTTCACATCGTATGAGAAGTCAGCCTTACCAACTTCTCGCTTTTGCATTTCAAGGCGAGAGGGCTTCCTTTCTGAAGTCATGGTTTGAGTCACGGGGACGTCTGACTGGCCGTGCGTAGGTGTGGAGCCCGCATGATGCCCCGTCGGTGTCTGTTTCATAGCGAACGCCTCTAAAGCCAGTCCTCTCTGCGCGTGCGTGGTGCGTGGCTGAACACAGTGCGTCGCTCGCCGAGTGTATCTGCACGCGGGGGAAGGGGGCAGGACGTTCGGGCGGAGGACAGGCAGGTGCCTGTAGTTTACGGCTTCCGGAAGACAGCGTGTCCGCGAAGGCGAGCAACAGGCAGGTTCAAACGCTGCAGCCTTCCTAAAATAAGTTGAAAAGGGACGACCAAGAGCTGTAACACGGCACTGACGTGTTTTGTTTTGTTTTGTTTTTTGAGCAAACTCACCGTGCCTTTTCAGAATGAAGAGAGCTTAATGGTGAACATCCCATTACTGGAGAACGGGTCAGTTCAGGAAATTTTGGGTAAACACTCTTCTACCTTTTGAAAAGGCCTTCGTGATCGCAGTAGTTGGACTGTTGGTGGAGGAGAGCCTGAAACAAAAACGTCATGTTTATTTAGTTGATTCTTGGCACAAGTTTTTGGATTTGATATGTGTATATTTAGGCGATCACCACAAAAAGTCTGCTTAACAAGCATCACCTTACACAGTTACACAGGTTTGTCCTCGTAACGAGGGCGTCTGACATTTTCTGTCTCAGCAGCTTTCGGATACGCGTGGCAGTGCTGTGAGCCGGAGTCCGGGAGACCGTGCATTGAGATGCACGGTTGGGTCGCAGGCAGAGTTGTCTTGTTGGGGACGGTGTTTCCAAGACAACGACCGGTGGTTAAGAGGTATGTGTCGAGAATTAGGGGTAAGGGGCGGGTGCTCCGTGCGCGTGTCCAGCGTGGCACTCTCTGCTCCGAGCCCCGGGCGGTCTGATGTTCGCACGCAGGGAGCCCCGGGGAGCGCGTTTGGGGAGCGCGTTTGGGGAGCGTGTGAGCAGACACCACGGCAGCCTGCAGCAAGCATCCACCTGTTTCGGGACGTCTTTTTAAAGCGAGTTCAGCTTACCACTCTCCTCTTAGTTTTCCTTTGCTTAATTGCAGGTGATGATTCCAAAAAAAAAAAAGCCTTCACCTGTGCTCGCCCGGCTTTCATCTTTCGCAGACAAAGCAGGCTGGGGCTTGGGCCTCGGTCTGTGGCATGCTTAGGGCCTGGGTATTAAAGGGGCTGGATCACCCTCAGGCTTTTAAGGGTTTTTTTGGGTTAAATTGATGAGCATGTATAATAAATTGAAGCTTTGTTGTTTGGCGGATTTTTTTCTCTATTTGTTATTTTATCAGTTAAGAGAAGGGGGTGGGGGGGGCATTCGTCTCTCCTCCCACGTCTCAGATTTGCCTTGAGATTTGTCATCGACTGGGATGGGCTTGGATATGACTAGCATTTTTGTATGTGTCTGTTTCTCCAAGCTGCCTGGAATCCAAGCACCCGAGTGTCTAGATGGCCGGTGTGTAGAGGCTTGACAGGGTTTGCACAGGGCCCAGGGGACCGGTGTCCCCTGTGTCCCTCCATGGCGAGGGCCTGACCTGTCCCTGCGGGGGACACACCCAGCAGATTCTTCTCTGCTGGAAATTGGGACTTCATTTCTGTCAGTCTGTCATTTTCTTCTGTTTATTTGTGTCTTTGGAATTTCGTCTTGTTCAAAGCAGAACTGAACGAATTTAGTGAGCGTGTGAGTTTTTGGGGCTGCTTGCCTTTGGGGAGCAGTGTGGCTCAGAAGGGCCAGGCCCACGCAGTGCCCGCACTGGTCAGCCTGCGAGTAGTCAGTTTCAGACGAGCCTGTCTGGGCTACAGACACGCTGTGTAAACACAGGGCACACGGGAGCACGAACACGCGGCATTCTGCGGAAGGGGCCGTTTAAAGCAGGCTGTTCCGCGTACCCCCGATGCTTCTGTGACGTGTGTGTGCGAACGTATCGATATGTGCCTTTTGGGGTGGGGGGTGGGCACTTTTACCAGATACTTTATTTTTCCTTCTACTAGGGCGCCATGCTCGAGGGGGTGTGGAAAAGCCGCCGAATACACAGGAAGGTTGTGTTGACTTTGTTCTCAGCCTTCACTCTTTTCCCTGGGCCAAGGTGACGGAGCTCTCTGCCCGTACTTGCCGAAGCGCCCGACTCCTCTTGTTTCATTCTTTGTAAATAAAACAGACTTCCCTCTTCCCTGCACCATGGCTCGCTCCTAGTTTCCTCCACGGCTACAATTCAGTCTAATCGTATCTCTTGGAAATAATATGAGAAAGTTATGCTGTTTTACTCCATCAGATTTAATAAGTTTGGATGCTTTCCAAGTACTCGGCATTAATCACACTTAAACCCAGGGCTTGATAGTTCATCCACCCGGAGTATTCATGTCAGAGACATAAAACAATCTGCTTTAATGCCTACAGTTCCCTTTAAATTGAGCACTTGCCTTGTGTTAATAAAACTTGCTTTGTATTGAGGGGCAATACAACGGGCGAAGACTGGGGGTGGGGATTTTTATGTCACGTAAAGCGTTTCATGGCCGAATTTTCCTTTCCTGTTTTAAAGCTTTGCAGAATTACATGGGGGAAAAAAAAAAAAAGGAACAAGGTAGGGTCAGAATAAGGAGGAATTAGTCAGCTTGGCAGTCTCCAGAGCTTGGTTTCCATCAGAGAGATGACGTGGCCCTGACAATTGGACAACACTCTTGATGTTGCTCCTGTGTTCCATTCTGGGAGTGACGCTGTGACACTGGACGCTGGTGTTTGCCCGTGTTCCAGGAGGAGGGTACGATGCCCGCTGTCCGCGCCACCTGCCACAGTCGCGGGCTGCAGGGATGCACACAGACCAGGCCAACGTTCAGAAGTACTGTCTTCGTCACCAGCATGTGACTGTCCTTTTAAGTGGGAAGTGTCCTGCCTCTTCTCCACCCCCGTGATGATGTGAAGAGAGTGGTTTCTCGAGCATCTTTCTCCTTTTGGGCATGGAAGTCTTCATCTTGTAGCAGAGTTTCTTTAATATTTCATCAGAGTGACGGAAGTTTCCACTTGTTAGTATTTTCTTGAGGATCCCTCCATGGCGTGAGGGGAGGTTTGCTCCGGGGACGAAGGGAGCACAGAGAACATGAACTCTGCCAGAGGGAGGCACTGACTGATCCTGGGGCTGGCTCTCAGGTGGCTTTCCATCCTTAGTCCACAGAGTGTGGTCACTGTGGGTGGCCTGCCAGGCTCTGAGGCAGAAATACCTGTCAGCCAACACATATCCCAAGACCACGTGCTTTGTACTTAACTACCCTAGGAAGCACCCAGATCGTATGGGTACGGACTCTGCTACAAGACATTCTAAACTCCAAGCCACGCAAGGTATGATAAGTAATTGCTGACTGGCGTGTGCCCATGATGACTTCAGTGCAGTTCTGAGAAGGGGTGGACGAGGCTTGGGTGTTGGGTAGCCTCCCAGCAAGTGGTTGGTGTTTAAGGGTGCTGGCCCTTCCTCTGGCCTCACGCACTGAACCCAGCTGGTTCATGCATGACTTGGCCACTAGGGGAGTTTTCTGGAAGCGTATTTTATGTCATCGGATGAAGCCTACACACGCAAGAAATCTCCATTTCAATCCGAGAATACAGGACACTGCCTGGTCTGAACCAACCAACAAGCAAACGGACGAGTTGGACGACTGTGGTAGAGAAGGGCATCCACTCTGTAGTGAGGGCTCAGCCTCAGCAGATGAGACACCGCACAGTTACTTTCTTTTTAAAAAAATTTTTTTTTATTAACGTTTATTTATTTTTGAGACAGACAGAGCATGAACGGGGGAGGGTCAGAGAGAGAGGGAGACACAGAATCGGAAGCAGGCTCCAGGCTCTGAGCCGTCAGCCCAGAGCCCAACGCGGGGCTCGAACTCGCGGACCACGAGATGGTGACCTGAGCTGAAGTCGGACGCCTAACCGACTGCGCCACCCAGGCGCCCCAACAGTTGCTTCCCTGTCTGATCTTTGTCATCCCTGCTGAAAAGGGTCTGTAGAAGATGTGGCTCAGATATATATGGAGTTTAATTGCTTCAAATTATGTGGACATCTAAAATTAACACCAGCCTTGGTGTTAATGTTCAGAGTTTGGAATATATTTAATTGGGCTCATCTGTATCTGCTGGTCATAGATAATCTATGTGTGTTTGTAGGTACACAAATCCAGCATTTATTTGGGGTATGTAGGCCATCAGCAAGTTGTAGGGAAGTTTGCTCATACAGTTGGCTGATGAGGCTGATGTTGGGAGACTGGGCTTACCCCTTAGGAAGCTTATAATTCCGTATGATGGTAGTTGTAACCTTTCCTGGAAAATATCTTAATCCCCGTGACATCATACTGTGAAAGAAGCTGTTATATGACTCATTTCTCAAACGTTAATTTAAGAAATCTTTGTCACATGCCTGTTGTGATGCAGGCAGTCCTGTAGATGTCAGGGACAGAGTAGTGAGTGGAGACAGACCAAGTTCCTGCTCTCACGGACCTTGCATTTCCCGGGAGGGGAAGACAGAAGCTAGTAACGTAAAAGGAGTCCGTGCTAGTTAGGGCTGGCAAGTGCTGTGAAGTGTGTGGGGAGCAGGGCACAAGGAGAAACCCCCCATGTGACCCAGGGCCTTTGAACAGAGACCTGATGCAGTGAGTGAGCAAACCTTGGAGGTGGCTGAGGGAAAGAACATTCTAGAAGGAGCCATAAATGCCAAGTCCTTGAAGTAAAGGTGTGCTTGATGTCTTCAGGGAACTTCTGTTGTTCGCCTACCATACATGTTGTCTGCTTAGGTAGGTTTTTAACTTCACCACAGTGTTCAAGTAGCAATAAACTGCTTTCCCAACCAGATTTATGCCAGATTGAGGGCTGAAACCATATCCTAAATGTGCCTTGTGCTTTCGTGATGTTTAGCCTGATGGTGACCCCATAACAAGTGCACAACAAACACATTAAAATTTATGGATCCCGTGATTAAAATGTTAAAATTAACCGTAATGTAATGGATATGTAGTTGATACGGAACATTTTTCAAGGAAAAGAAAAATCTCTTGCTACCTCAACCTTTCTTTCTCAGTTTCCTGTCTGTGGAGATTTTATGCAGGCTCATCAGGCTCAAATTAGTAATTGGGCACTGTCCCAGGAAATGGCCCAATACTGGATATTTGGTAACATTTTTTCTTTTTTTTTTTTTTTTTTTAAATTAAAAAAAAAAATTTTTTTTTTTCCAACGTTTATTTATTTTTGGGA